TACAACTACTAACGTTAGATCATATTTCATTCAAATGCAAGTAATCGACTTCCCATGACTTACTAGGAATATATATTTTCACCGTCATTTACGGAAATCCTAAATGTATCATTGTTAATCCGCCTTCCTAAAGTCAAGGGTTGTGTGTTACTTCACCATTTTGTTGTATCCTATGTACATATATGTCTGTAAAACCACCGATTACTTTTGGAGTATGTAGAGATTCAACTAAAAAGAAGACTTCCTAGTATGAACATTGTTAACCAATGTTGTTCCTATAAAGTTTATTGTTTGCGCACCTCGTTTTCAGATGGTTGCATCACTCATCCAATTTTGAACTTATAAAAAATGTTGTAATTTTTGATACTTGAAAAAGAAATATGTAGTTATATGAAAATATTCTCAAAAAAATAGGCACTGTGTAATTCATACTCAACAATAATGGGTAAAAAACCTGCTGATTAACTGAAATGTATGATTTTAAAAATTATGTGAGCGCAAATGATAACTGCTTTGCAAACAAACCAACAGAAATATCAGAAGTTAATTGGTGTATGGTGACTAGCGGTAGAATCAATTATGCCCATTTGGTTGTATTTGGGACTCACTATTTGGATGTGCTTGCATTCCACAGTGAGTGATGATGTTCCCATCGAGGCCCATAGCACAGGAGGTGACTCTCGTGGCCCAAGTGGTCTAGTGGATAACGCTTTGGGGTTTGAAACTATGGACAATGGGTTTGAGGCTTGGTGGGAACATCACTCAGTGCGGAATGTAGGTACTTCCAAATGACGAGTCCTAAATAGGACGAAATACACATCCTGGATCCCAACTGTTAGTCAACTTCCACCAATTAACTTCTAGTTGAATGCCCAGACATCGTCGAATCATCTGCACAAGAAGCCGAGATGTCAACCTGAGACTGAGCACTTCGGTCTAATCAGTCGACGGGAAAATCTAAAATTGAATTAAACATCAGAAATATCGTTCCCATGCAAACGTACAGTGATCTTATTATTATTTAGATTAGAGAAACACTTTTTTTGTGATGGACTGGTGGCACATCGTAGGCGTCATTTTCATGTGAGTCCTACAGTCAATCATATTTGAAGGATCAAAAACCATTTATGCCATTTATTTATGAATGTTTTAATGTTCACCAGTGGCTCCAAGCATGATGCTCAACTAAAAGTGAAACATTCACATTGAAAAAAGCATGAAATAATGTGATGGCCGGCAATGAATTCTGTTTGATAGTTGACATTGGGAATAATCCTTTTCTACTGTGTGATATACAATCATAAACTAATGCGAATTGATACACACGTTAATATGTTTCGACCACTGTTCAATTTAATACTTGTCTTTCAGAGAAATTATTTTTATCACGAAATTAATGCTATCCTTTAAACACAGGAAAAATTGGAAAATTGCACGATTATTCCTTGTCACAGTATTAAGTTCTCCAGAGGATCAATTCAATGGGTCGTCTTTGTTCACTATTGATCAGTTCGTGTTTATTGCATACTTCAGCATAAAAATTAGAAGGCGATTTGTTTAGACAATGAAGCATGTTGTAATTCACCACTTTTATCCAAACTCATCCGGGTATTGCTTCATAGGATCGTCTGAGTAGAAGAAATTATTTACCGCACTCCTACTGATCTTAATTTTGCTTTACGAGTTCGTCTTCTAATTACAGCTGAAGCAATTGGAATTCATCTGAAGAAGCCAAAGCTGAGTGTTCTGAAGAAATTTGTACAGCCACTTTTCTTACCTTGGTCATCGTTACGTGAATGTATAAACCGGACTACTTCACCCCCCTCCACTGAAACTTTGAAAATTATAAAAATTATAATTGTCCAAATTATTTTATTATTTTTTTCTGACTACTTCATCTTTAATTACATGTTATCCTTGTAAAATTATTTTATTCTTATGACCACATCATCCTTAGTTACAAGTTATCACCGTCCAAATCGTTTTATTTTCTTAAACAATCTGTTACGTAATCAACCTGTGCACACGCCAATTCCTCCATTACTTTTCATTATTCCAAAATTATGCATTACTCAATACATGTGTTCCCGACCGATAGCTGCTACCTTGACGTGGTGGTCGAACTTGCATATCGCAATGACCCAACGAGCTACACTGGCTGGAACTTATGTTCCTGTAGGCCCTACCATGCAAGAAAGGTTGTTTGGATATCGGTTAGACAAAAAGCAGCTACCCAATCCAATACTATGACTCAAACAAACTCACAAAATATTATGCCGGATCGGTCGAGGCCCGAATTAACAACGACCGTGCTTCCTGCTGCTGTGTCACAGGGCAGAAGTGATAAATATGCTACTGAGACACACCAAACAAGAAAGAACAACCAAAAACAGGCCGCGTGTGACGGGCCTCAAGCAGTTATCCCCTGGGCTCTGTGGTCACACAACACCAACCTTTTCTCTCTCCCCTTCTCAGGCGTGAGGCTAGCAACCCCACCCTGTAAACAAAGCTGCTACAGAAACTTCAGCACGACGAATCTTTTTGCGCCAAAAGAAAAAGTCTGTGTGGGGACATGGAATGTCCACACCATGTACGAGATTGGCAAAGCTGCCCAGATCGCAAACGAAATGGAAAAAACATGGAAAATTCCCATTGTAACATATATTGATAACAATCAAAATCGCAGTAATGAGGGGAAAAACATAGATTAACTAGACGAAATGAGATGTAAGTAAGTTTCTATATATCTGTGGCCGAGGAGCACAATCGTCTGGCTTAAATTCATGAATGGTAAAAGGGCCCCGTTGTCTCATGATGTTTATAACTCAGAAAACATGACACGTTAACATGAATTCGATAGATGATCTTAAAATAACAGAACAGTCAGGTCTGGTAGAGTGACAAGATTCGATCTCGAATAGAGCTAGTCGCACCCTTACTTTCTCCCATGTTAAACCCTGTTGGAATATGATCTCGTACCCGTGTGGAACGCCGTTCTATGATCACGGCCAATGTACCTTGCTCCGTAAGCGCAGGTGAAATGATATATGCACATGGAGGTGGCAGGACGGAGGAGCTTATCTTTTAAAGAGTAGGGGAGCAACCTACGTCTGGTGAACGTAGTTTCTAATTGTGAAGCAAAGAACGTCTTAATGACTAATTTAGACTGACGATTTTGCGCATATCTAAAGCCTGATCACATTTCAGTTCCTAAATCATGAATATGGTTGGCTTAGGAACTGAGTTAATGACCTGTTTGGACTGTTTATCTTTCGTGTTTCTGTCAACAGATCAGTTAGGATAATCGTTTTCTGTGGGAGTGGCTTTTAGGAAGAAGAGTCCTGAGTCAGCTCAGTCAAAACTACAAAATTGTCTTGTTCCAAAGCAAAACGGCTAAATCAAGTACCCCTTCGTGGAGATGGACACGCAATCATGCAGCTGTACGTTTCCGGTAGATGGATATTTTGAGATATCCATCGTTGAATCCACTGAGGTGCAAATCAGATTCCTTTTGTGGCGAATTGCAGAGATGTATGGCATTTGCTGAATACAAACAAGATATCAACAATTATTATATCCTCGTCGTAGATAACGAATGTGTCATCTACGTAACTCCAACAAAAACTTACTAATTTTATTTTCGTCTTCGATAATTGTTCAGTCAACCTATGGTCTGACTAAAATAAAAGTTTCCAAGAATTACCATAAAGCATTCAGCCAACAGTGGGACCCAATGGAGATCGCATCACAATGCCATCTTTCTGTCTAAAAATCTGTTTAGTGAAAGTAAACTGAACATTTAATGTGCATTTCAGTAAGAGGTCTTTAAGGTATGTTGTTGACATTTCTATGTCTAAAACATCTGCATTAATAAAATCTCATGTATAGCATATAACTTCCGTGTTAGTTACCTAAGTAAATAGAGAAGTGTCATATATATGCTGAAACACCCAAATCTCGAATATTCTCAATAAATTTAAATGCATCATCAATGGAAATACTTAAATACTGGCTGTCAAGGAACTTATTCCTAAGATCCTACAATTTCCGAAGACACTCCGAGTCGACAACCACTAAGAACAGATATCGACTTTATTGCCGAAACACAACGGATGAAAAGAAATTTTATTCTTCGATTTTTAAAATCAATATTCCATACTGAGACTATTAACAAGTGTTTTTACGAGGAATGTAATGAACTGTTATGCGTATTCTTTCATCTTCTTCTAACTTGTACATGATAGAGTCACTTGCGCCTTCAAGTTGCCTGCCAGCGGTGACCAAATCCAGTAAACAAACATTCAGTGTTCATAATTATTGACATTAGGCTTCTAATTTGTTCCAGTATACACCCTCTCCCAACCTCTATACATCCTATGAATTATTCTGTATATGAAATTAATTGTTTTGCCGCTTGACATTTAATGTTTAACTATGTTTGCAATCACAGATATTTTAATTGTAACGCAGGTTATTCCCGTTTTATGTATTCACACCTTTGCTTGAATTTCCTCACGGAATATCATTTCTTAGTGTGAAAACCATGTATATATATGTATACATATACAAGATTGTACATATTGATAATAAATTCACTGAAAAGAGTTTCTTCGCTGTCTCCAACATGTTTACCAATGATTTCCGCAATGACTTAAAGTGGAAATCATTACCACTGTTTTTTGCTTCACTTAGAGGTAAAATGTTGCTCCTTATAGTAGAAAGTTATTACAAAGCTGTTTAGTTTTCGATTTAACTGAGGGAGCACGATGTCCGTCACCTCCCACTGGTAAATGTTACGCAAGAAACAATTAAGAATACATTTGAATTTTTGGTAAAAATTTCTTTTATAAATATTTTATTATTGAATTATAATTTTATTTGTAATTAACAAGATTTTGTATTTAACTTAATTCTTTAATCAAACTGGACGGATAGAAATTTACTGATTAAAGGAGTTTAATCACTCTGATATATGAACAGTCATCAACGTGTTTTCATCTTCATTTTCCATTGGAAAATTTGTTCGTACGTCTGTATGTCGACGGTACTTGATAGGTGTATTCCCAGGTATGTACTTTGGTAGTTGAACCATCAGGATTAGTAATGTATTTTGTTTGTTTGTTACTTTTGTTACTTATCGGTTTGCTATTTCCACCTTGTTGCTGTTTGTGGAAAAATTGCTCCCACTTAGCATCACCTGGTCCAGTTTTATAATATACTGTTTTGTAGTTGTTGTTTCTCAGTTTGGTACTATCAATGTTCATTTTAGATAAAACGTCGTTCCAGTCAATACTACCTGGTCGGGAATTATAATTGATTGACCCAGTGTTGTAATTTGTTTGCTTTTTACCATTATCAGGTCTGCTAACAACATTGGTAGGTCTTTTGTTTGTACTTGTTGGTATCCTGGCGTCGCTTTGCGGTCTGTTATTGACATTAGGTCTTTTAGCATTGGTTTTTGGTTGATTGGGTTGTTTTGAAGATCGCTGTTTAGCACTTTGTGGTCTGGCTTTTAACTGATCAAGGGTAATACCACTAGGATCCTTTCCATCTCCTTGGCAAGTAACACGCTTAGCTTCATATGGCTTCTCACGTCCAATGTTTCCACTTTAAGTTAAGAAAAGAATAAAAACAGAAGTTACACGCTGAAAAAATTAAGACGTCTTTGGACAGTATATGCAATAAAAGAAAATCTGATATGCAATTTCAACTCACCCTATTGCGTAATTGCATACAACATATAATCCATATGGGAATGTCTTACTCCCCGTGCAGTCGTTTACTGCACACCCTATATACGAGGTATGGTTCCAAACAATCTAAATGACAAACAAAAGTGAACAGTTATCAGTTGAAGTAATTTTTAGAACAAGTTAGCGCAAAATTAGATGACTCAATATGTGATGCAAAATATGGAATGTTGTGGCATAGATATCATTCATACTCGCTTTATGATAAATTCATGAATTACGTTTGCTCCTACTTCATCGCCATCAGTACATGTATCTCATCAGACGATAAATTGTTACATCTTCTACAAAATGAATCCCTACTTTACCATTTTCTTAAAGAGAATACATCAAAATACAGAATTATCTAGTTAAATGTAGGAAGCAGCTAACTAAAATAAGTGTGTGCAAATAATGCATAAGAGCAAAAAGAGTTTGATGATGTCGTGACTGATTATTATTTCAGCACTGCTCTGTAAAAATATGCCAAAAATAACCAGTACACACAAAATGCAAATTGCATCAACAATCAGCCAGCATCCGTTTTACTTCATTGCACATTATATAGTGAATTAGCTACATCTAGTGAAGTCTCTTCAATAGAATGACAATTAGACATTGATGTCAGTTGTTGAATATTATGATTCATTCAGTAGGATTCTGAAAACCTTTCAGCACCAAGATGTCAAGGATAGATTGGGCTTCACAAATAGCAGATATGCCTGGCTCAAATCACTCAACACATATAACTTTAGTAAATTCACAGGCAGAAATTACCTTACAACAACCACGACAATGAAGTCTATTCACAATGGATCAATGAGTTTCGCCAACTTGATCATGCATGAATGATAAACGTTGAGGTTACAGTAAAGATGGCACTGAGGCAATTTCTGAAAACTATGTCTGATGACTTAGTTTGATGAAATAGTTTTGCAATGACCTACTTCGATACAAACTGTGATCGTAAATATTTACTTCACCGAAATAAAATTTCTGCATAAGTTGGATTTTCTCTGGCAGTAAATAGATTCTACAACATACACACAGGCTGCATACTTTAATCAAGAGATACCTTCGCTAGTTCCTCACTGAAGATCAGATAACCAGAAAGGATTGGCAGACAAAGGAGAGCCTATGTTCCACTTGAAACTAGAGGGAATAATGATGATAATTTGCAAACATGTGATAAATTTACGTATATTTTCATCTCGCTTAAAATATCCTGACCGTTTAAAATCTGTTTCTGGATTGAATTTACTTCCCAACCACATCCATTCACCAATGTAATAATATGTAGCACATCTTTTGAAAGTTAACCAAAATTGGTGTGTTCTGTTAGGTAACAGAGATATTTCTAACTACAATTAACTAATGTGTTAACAGATCAGCCTATTAGACATGCATACATGAATAAAATGGTTAAAACACTAAAATTCAAGGAATCAAGTCTAAGATTATTTTACCTGAGTATAATGTCCACAAACTTTATCTGTTGCGCAACTTTGTCTCCAATAATCGTAATCCTTGTGTTCATTTGTCCACGCTGTCATAGCTCTAAACGTTTAGGCATAATAAATGCTTGTGAATTAAATTTATTTACCTTGCTACAGATGGGTTTCCCGCAATGTTTTGTCCAATGTAATTGAAAGTTTTCTTTGGAAGTTTTTTATAATCATGCTCGAATACGCATCGTTTAGCTAGTTTCTTGGCATAACCTGCAATTTCATCGTTCCATTTCTGAAATAAAAGCAATGATTTACAGGAGGGTAAAGCTTTTTCAAAAATATTTATTGTTTGACTTTACAACTCCAAGTCACATATGATAAGAAGAAGAAATTCACATCCGAAATGTATACTGAAACTACAGTTACATAAGCCCTCATTAGGCATAAATAATAATGCAGATTGAAATCAGCTGCAACTCAGACTTTTACTCGAAATGAGAAATAGAAAGCTTACCAATGCAGGGAGTGGAGTTACACTAGATGGTTGTCCACGTATTTTGCAGTTGCTCAGAGATTGTCTGAAGTTGTTGTGCCATTTTAGCAAGTTGATCTCATCTTCGGTTGAAGGTGAGCCAGAGGTTAATTGAAAGAGTAGCACCAAAATGACCAGAATAGTTGTATCCATTTTGAGCATGTCTTAATGGAACAGATAAAATAATTTATATTTAAGCGTATAAATATCTCTTCAATATTTTTATTTTTATATTTTTTTAGTGTGTGACCACCTGTAATTCTTATAACAAACTCAACGAATACAATTTGACCGGCATAGAAGATGAATATTTGTGATTTACTCAAAACACTCTGAATAAAAGTCCTCAAAGTATTCTTAGTGACCAACTATCCAATTTGCTTCCATTTGATATAAATGAGATTGAAGGAAGAACCTGGAGTTCAAAATCCATCACTGGGTTTATTTTTAGTAGTTTGATATAGGTTTCCTTACCATCTACAACAAACAAGTATGCGTAGTCTTACGGAGGATGAATAAAAAAACAATTACTATGCAGTCACATGTTGTCAACCTATATGAATGTGCCATCTACTGTTTAGATCAAATTGATCTGTCCATAGAATATTGCTAGCTGATTTTTTCGATAGTCCATTGATCATGACACCAAGTAGAACATATCAATGTGAAGGAAATTAAAATTTCTTCTTAAGAGTCTACGTCACATTACTCAATACTAATCTGAGTTATACCATATAATGTGATAAAGTATTTCAATAAACAAAGACCAGATCTGCAGTATAAAATGAAATCATTCTATTTCACAGATTCACACCAGATATAAACTAATTGAAATTACAACGGTAAAATAAAAATGATAATAACATACCTCTATGCTTGAATGGTTAACGTATCCAGAAGGCAAGCACTGTGACTACTTTTAGTTCAAGTCAGCATCGGTTTATATATACTTTCAAGTAGAAGACGAGAGATGGGGGCGTTGAATGAGACAATGGACAGATAAAAATATAATAAACTCTGTTTGCTTATAAGTTCACACAGCAACTCAAGAAGGTTAAGGCTCATTAGACAAAACTATCTTACGAGGTATAACCTTGAGTTTCCGTGTGAACTTGTAAACAAACAATGTTTATAAGAATTTTCTATGCTTTGTCTCGTCCGCCCCCTTTGTTTTGTCGGTTTCTAATTGAAACCACATAAATTGATGCTGACTCAATCTGGGCCCCGACCGATCCGGCATAATATTTTGTGAGTTTGTTTGAGTCATAGTATTGGATTGGGTAGCTGCTTTTTGTGTAACCGCTATCCAAACAACCTTTCTGGCATGGTAGGACCTACAGGAACTTAAGTTCCAGCCAGTGTAGCTCGTTGGGTCATTGCGATATGCAAGTTCGACCACCACGTCAAGGTAGCAGCTATCGGTCGGGATAATGCAATATACAGCTCACAAAACAAAATCTGATTATTTCGTTCCTAATACAGTATAAGTTGTTGGATTGTTATATATCATAAGAAAACAGGAATCTTGACGTATTCATTTGATCATTAGATATCTCACACAATGAAATAGGATTACTTAGTGGATAATTAGATGTGCCTCTTCACTCAACTGCTCGAATTCCTGGCTTCCACAGTTCTTTATCACCATGAATAACAGATGATTACTTACTGCTTGGGAGCCTTTCCTCGATTGCACCACTAGAAATAAATGAAGATTGCTAATTTTGGTGTCAGAAACACTGATCTGTTTAATGCTAATAATGCATATATTTCTGTTTTTGTTTAGATAAATATCTAAGATGGAAGCGAAGGTCATTGTAGCAATTATTTATGTGTAAGCTCTACATCTTGCCATATTTGAAGGGAAAACAGAACTGATACACTGTGATTTTAAATTGATTTATATTATGTGGTAATTAACCACTGTTCAAATATACGAACAACGAAGTGAAGCCAACTTATGAAATTATTGATAAACTAGGTTTCAGATGGTTGCTTGATTGCCTTTTTCTTCAATTGAATGATGAATTTTTAATGAAAATATAGCAAATTATTTGGATACAATATGATTTTACCTGATTTTGTCACATATTTTCCACTATAAAACATCACTTGAAGGTATCACATCACTGGTAACTAGGAAATTAACGACGTTTATAATGGTGTAGCCTCGTAGTCAGGAATGCCCTGAAAACTATCTAATATCATCTGACCTTCTTTGTAAGATGTTACCTGACTAAAGGGAACAATCGACTACAAATCAAGGTTTCTTTTATTCACTACACATAGTAAGTAACTGCGCTGACTTTCTGAATATCTGGAATGTTCTGTTACTTGTACGGTAAACAAATAATATAAACTTCAACTTAAAAAATCCATCCACCTAATGCATGACATTACGCTATTCCACACCTTAAATTTCGTTTGATACTTCACACAGGGATTATCTCTGTTTCACTGTGGGAAACACTAAATTAAATCATAAACAGCTGCATATATATGTTTGCTAAAATATGTTTTATCATTAATATTCTGCGTAATTCTTCGTTCCCGGAATTTCAGACCAGTTTTCATGACCCTGTTTTCCATACTGTTCTTCAGATTCAGGAATAAATTGCCAAATGCATGCTTATTCACTGGCATATTGGTAAGTTCTGCAGAGAGCCAAACAGATGAATTGATTTTGTCCAGTCATAATCAATTCGCTATTGTTGTGCATTTAGATGGAAAATTTCTAAACAAGTTATTTAGATTTGAGGCTGATGTGAATTGAACTATCTCAAAAGAACATTTTCCATTTTAATCTTAAAGCATCCATAGTACATCTCGTTTATCGTACGAGAATAAAATAGTCTCGGCTATTCAATGTCTACCTGGAATAACTGAAGATAGAAATTATTCAACTGAGAGATATTTCGCAGTGAATCAAGTTTTACCAAGTTTGGTGATATAACTTACGAAATAGCATATCAAAACCCGCAAAACACGAAACAATTTCATGCTGGTCACCAGTTTATAATCTTCAGTTCAGTGCTCATCGGTGAAGAAAGATAAATCCACTGCCCGAAGAGTTCTTCATTACTCTCTGATCACTGCCGAAGTTCGAATACACAAATTACATTTCCACTAGACTTTCGTGTGTAATAAATAATTCAAAATAAAACATACTTTTCAGGGCGCCATATCATTTCCACTGACCTATCTGCCTTATTTCAGCGAGGCTCGTAGAACAGAAATTAGTCTCGATGGTGAGGTACTTCTAATAACAGATAGATGATAATAAACATTTCAGGTATAAGGCTATGATGAGAATTTATCAAGAGGAATATTCTTTGAGCAGACTAAGAATAATGATGAGGCCAAAATTGTATTATCTCGACAGTCACTTTTATGGATTTTCCTTTTATTTATCATTAGGCCATTTATTTTGATACCCCTAGTTTTTGCCAGTCAACCGTACATCACAGATCATTGTTAGCAACCAGTGATAAAGATCAACAGTTTAGAAGCTGATTTTTTATGATAAATTGCAAATTTTTACCTATGAATTTAATCTAAAGTAGTCAAGGTGCCAAGCCGACATGCTGATATCAAGTCATTAAGTTGCAATCCAACTGTGAATGAAATCTAAATTTTACCTATTCTCAACAGACTGCCATCTATAGCCTGTGGCTTCCAGATATTTCGTAATAATCTAAGCAGTATTGGAGCACCCCTTTTAATTTGGTTACTGTCACTGTTGGTAAACATTGAATGGTTCGTTTATTCCAATTAATCTCCGTTTGGCGAGATGCAACAATCGTAACTGTTGCTTAATTGTATGATGGTTGGCAGAGGACCGGAGAAATACATTTTGCTAACGTTTATTCACAGGCTCTGCAAATATTAGCTTGTAATTCTGCTTTGAAGTAGGTGGAGAAATAAACAATCGTATTGTGCTTTCTTTTCTGCAATTTCACCTTAGTTACCGTACATAGTATTCGGAGGTATTAAAAGTAGCCTTCCAAAATCATCAATAGGTCCAGAACCTTTTGTGATCTTGACATTTGACAATTACTTTGCTACGTATTCCTCTCAACACCGATGTTAAGTAAAAACACACAGGGCTACGAATATATTGAAATGAAAGAGTAGAACTTGTTAGCTCAAAATTTGATGGTTATTTAGGTGATTCCTTGCTCTACATAAAGCTGGGACGAAAATTACAATGCATATGCTTGAACGTAGAGAATATGATGAAGGTATTCTGTGTGAATTGGAACGGAATTTTTTTCTTATAATCATGGAGATTTATACTTATTCTGAAGAATGTACTCATATGATATTCATCCTAGGTTGATATAAATTTATCGTCGGTCGTCTCTCACCAAAACAGCATGTTTGTGAACTTCTGAGAACTATCAAGACTAAAACATGTACCACTTAGGTCATATTATTAGCTTTATTCTTGATTGATATTTATCAGTAATTTTCTTCATTTTAGAATCGATTGTTTTCTGATGGTAAGCATATCTGCAGTGTCCTCAAATCGGCAGACTAATGTTGATGTTATGGTAGGTGACTTAAGGTGAGATATAAATCTTCGCTGCAGCAATACTAGAGCCGAACACCTTCAGCCAACTAGTCTCGTTCTTTCTCAGTTAAGATAAGAGCCCAAAATGCTATCAGTTCATAATTTAGCTGTATCTCAGTGTAGTGGATTATAGCAGGTTGACAGGAAACACGCCACACTGGAGGC